AAGAGTAACTTCACTTTTTTTCAAGCTTAGCCAAACATGTTGATAACAACTCCCCGCTCAATTTCCCTTGGAAAAATAGCAAAAGAAAGAACGAAACATTACTGAAAAGTATCTGATATTATTAAAAAAATGTTTTGTATTAACTTGCAGGCGGAGATATCTCTGTCGTTCAATCACTTTTAGCAGAACTGCCTTCACAATTTTTAGCATACATGAGAGCCAGAGGTATATCTCCAAATAAGTAATATCAATTTGAACTGTACATGCACAAATCCTTTCTCCTGTTATTTTTGGCTCCAATTAAATTTACTTTTCCGGATCTTGGAGCACAAGCACCATCAAATTTAGTTCCTGGCTGAATTTTTCGTCTTTACCGGGATGGACATGCTCGTATTATGTTCGTAACAACTTTTTCTGTCATCATTCTCTTCGGAAAGAATTGAAAAAAAAAAAAAAAAAAATTACTTGTTCATTAGAAATTCTATAAATTCTCAAGCAGTTGATTTTGAAGCCCCACGGGTGATTTGACCCGATAAATTTAGTCTGAAAAAGTTGTGAACCATCACCACCACATTCCTTAGCCATTGGGGAACTGTAAAATGATTCACCTTCCCTTGTTTCATTTGGATGTTATATATTTATATATATTCTGCACTTTTCTTCTTCGGCCAAAATAAAAATCAAATTTGAATAAATGTGAAATTGTATATCGTTAAATGTTTTTACTAGCTAAACATGTAACTTGTTGGGCGAAAATAGAAAGATGCATAGGCTTTATAAGCAAGCAAGCATTAAAATGAATACTTTATTCGTTGGTCGAAGTGATTAAGAAAGTAGTTTTATTACGTAGACATAATGATTTATATACACATGATATGGTGAGATATGATTTTGTCAAAAAATTTTCAACCAAATTAAAAAAAAAAAAATCACCTTTCTATTTGACACTACATCTATATGTAAATTATTATGTAATTTCATTATGTACTTTTAAGTAAATTACGTATAAAAGTATCTCAAGGTTGAAATAAATAAAAGTGTATTTGATTGGCTTTAATTTTTTTTTTTTATAGGAAATGTATTTTTTTGCCTAAATTTTAATTTTTGGGATGTTTGATTGACGATTTTTTTTCCCATAGAAAATTCCAATTTCTAGTTATTTGATCATATTTTCCTCAAAAACAAAGAAAATATTTCCTTTATGTAAGGGTTAGTTTTTGTTTTCTATATAATTCAGTCTCTCTTTCTCATATATTTCTTTTCTTTTATTTATCTACCAATAAAAAATAGATAAGTATATTTTTTATGTTGAAAACTAAATTAATCAAAAATGTTAAATTAAGCTCTTGTTGGAGCTCCATTTTTGGGGAAAGAATGAATTTTTGAATAGTGTATGGATGAGAAATGTATAGTTAGAAAATAAAGAAAAATGTTATATTTACGTGTAATATTATTGTATTGAAGAATGTATAGTTGAAATGATGACAAAACATTGTTAAAAAATACATTTTTTTCAAAAGGATGGGGGGACAAACAAGGGCTGATAATTGTCATTCAGTCCATGTACGCACCTTAAATGTTTCTTTTACTTATTGGTGAGGTAAAAGTAATATGTTGATTCTCAAAAAAATTTACTTTGAAAAATATTCTATTTACTTTTTAAATTCAATATTGACGACGGTCTTAAAGAACAAGGAAAAAGTGATTGTTAATTGGTATTTTCGATTTTGACGCTTTCTATTTCAAAAAATCGTCGGTCAAGTTAACGAACGTGCCTTGTTCGCATGTGTGCGACAATGCCCATTAACTAACATGCTATAACGCTTTCTATTCTTCAATATTGCAATCCAACATTCGGTGGATGTTTGCGCCCTCAGGGCATATATCCCAGTGGCAAAGGCGAGGGCGGATAGGGCTCAGCTCGGCAGTGTGCAAAGTTCGATTCCCCGCAAGGTGGAATTGACTTTGTTGTAAGCGGGAGTTACCATATGGGTTAACAGTCTGGACATATTCATGTGCTCTCCACCCTGGCTCCTGGGAGGCACATTCTGCGATTTACCTCCTCCACGATGGTCCAGGACAGGGTCGGTGAAGGCCCTTAAGGTTGGGGTTCAACCTTTAATATTCAGTGGATGTTTGAGCTCCATTTTTTGGTGTAAAATGTATTTTGAAACAGTAGATTAATGAAGAATGTGTAGTTAAAAAAATAAAGAAAATTTTTAAATTCGTGTGTAATACTATTTTATTAAAAAAATATGTGATTAAAAAAAGAGTGAAATATATTTTGGAAAAATGAAATCAAACAAGGGCTTAATAACAAAAAAATTCTGTAACCAAGAAAAGGACTGCCAAAAAGACAAAAAATCAAAAAGTCGTCGTTATGTTAGTGTTTTTCAACTTGGATGGAAAAAAATGTTCGACTCTCCTGCATAGTCAGGCTTGCAGAAAACGTTAGTTTGACTTTCTCCCCTTTATTCTCTTTCTATAATGGCTTGAAGTAAGATGAATTCGAAAATGAGTTATGTACGGTTCAGTAGTTTGACCATTAATTAATTCTATTGTTACTGTTCGTAAGTATTCTTTTTACATATCAAAATATATTATTTTGGAGACAGTGTAATTAAAAAAAAAAAGGTTGAACCCTAACCTTGAGGGTTCCACCGCCCTCCCGAAGTATCGCGAGGGAGGTAAATCGCAGGATGTGTCCAAACAGGTTAGAAAACAAGAGTTTGTCTGTATACTGGTATCACAAAGAGTCAAATTTCATATCTCAGGAATCGAACTCTCACACTACGGTTGTTAGTAAAGCTGAGACTACCTCATTCCTGTCCTTTGTGCCACTGCGATATGCCTCAGAGGGCAGACAAAGTGTAATAAGATAAGACGTAGAGTAGTTTCAAAATTTACGAGCTTAATTATTCTTTTATTTTTAATGCTATTTTAATTATTGTATGAATATTAATATTAATTCATCTTATTTTTAATAAAAGAGAAAAAAAAAAATATGTGCATCTTTTGAGGCTTGACACACATTAATCGTTTAGGCCCACATTAATTTCTTCTTTTGACACCTGAGCCCATATTATAGTCTGGCAAAATAGAGTTCACCGTCTTTTCTAGTGTCTTTGCTATAAGTGGGGCATTTTTCCCACCATTCTGGGCATGATAATTGGTACACCAGATGTGCGTACTTCTCGATCATCTCATATTAGAGAAAGTTCTTTAAAGTTTGAATTTTTTTATTTGGAATCTACATCCCTTATTTGTGTATAGATAGCTATCTCTCGAGTATAGGTTTAGGTTTGTCCCTTCTTCTTCTTCTTCTTTTTTTTTTTTTTTTTTTTTTTTTTTTTTTTTTTTTTTTTTGTGGAATGGGGCAAATTTTAGTTGAGAGGATGAAAAATAAGAAATCTTGAAATCACACCGTATAAAAATTGAAATTAATGAGACGAATCAAGTTATTACATTTAAGATGTTATTGATCTCCAATAAAATTTTCTATTGACAAAATAACTCCAAGATATAAGTTTATCACAAATGTAGTACTAGTATCTTTGTTATCACACATCATTTTAAAAAATAGTAGTGCTATGTGTACAATTGAGATTAACAACCCTGATTAACAATTAGACACATGAAAGGGGGGTCCACCTTGAATAAAAAAATCGTGAGTCGCCCCTCCTGTGAATACATTGTCAATCCCAGTTGAACCAGAAGAATAATTCTTTTATAAACAACAACATTTTATTCTCGTGTTTATTTAAACCATTTTTTATTTTAAAATTTATAGTGAGACGCCAGTATTATCCAGTAACAAATTAATAATTGATCTCAATAGAGTAATGTTGTTATAGTTGCTAACTGCGTTAGTCATCCTATATGGCATCCTGCATGGTGTTTTGTGATTTGATATATTAATATGATAGTTTTTCTAACTTTATATATTAAATCACTAACCGCTATATGTATGTCATGTAGGGCAATTACAACAGTGAATGATTGTAAATAGCATTATTCATCTCAATATGTTAAAAAATATTAAATTTTTTAGTGTAAGAGCTAAGATATGGCATAATTATTCGAAGTATATTACTTTATCCTACGTATTTTAAGCAAAGATTAGTGTTTCTCTATAGAAACCTTTGAAGGTACCATTTAGGAGGCGAATTCGGTGGGGGTCATAATTTAACTAACTATCAATTTCTTTCCTTAATATATATTTTGATTATTGACGTTGTTGGTAATGTACTAATTAAATTCACCAAACAATTAAAATAATTTCTAGATTTCTGTCTATACTTAATTTTTTTTTAACATAAAAAGAGGGTTTTTCCTTTTATTTATTTATTTTTGGTTTTAATTGAGTTCTTTCTAAATATTTCACGAGCCTCAAAGTATTTCCGTGCCTCTTGTCACAGTATCTTCGTTTTTAAGATGGCTTCTCATGATGTATCCAATGTGATAAGAACAAGGTGGTCGACCAATTTAATTGGAAAAATTGAGAGAAGATCTAAAATTTGATCTAGCTACATGTAAAAAAATCAAATATATAGAAGTCATCAAATGAAGTTGAGAACTACTTGGTTCATTCTTTAACATCCAAAACCAAATGGTTCACTCACAATCACTCGATTGACCTTCAATTTTTGGTTTTATTTATATAATCAATTTCTTACCACTTATTCGATCCTTTAGTTCTCAATCGTTTACATTTTTTGTTTTTTTTTTTTATTATTATTATGGCGTCGGGGCCCACGTCGAGGTGAGAGAAATGAGAGAGGTAAAATAAGCAAAAAAGCAACCAATACAAAAGTGTGATAAAATACGTGCTTTACATTTTTCAAAAGACGCTAATAGAATATTTGGACAGAAATCGTCATTATTCATTAAGATGTATTAATTAATTGAAAATCGATAATAAGATACTAAACAAAAGTATATAAGAATAGAAAATAATGAACAAAAGATTGCAAATATTTGATAAAATTAAAAAATGATGCAAGAAAATATGGGTACAACTTGACCACCCAATTATCAATTAAGATATAACGTTGAGTCACAGGTAGGTTTGCAAAGGTAAGACCAAATATTCCTTAATTTCAACAGACATTTCAGCTGTTATAGAAAACCCTAGCAATTCCTCCTCCTTTTCCATTCTTGTTAATATTTCTCTGCATCTTGTATGTCTTGTAGCAAACCCTAAAGTCTACTTCTTCAGCCTTTAATTTGTAGTCTCTTGGAAGTGCTTTACTGTGACAAATAAAGGGAAAAACAGTGGATCGTAGGCATGGGAAGAGGCCCCTTCCGTTCGATGAATCGGAGGAAAAAGAGGAAGTAGAACTGTGCCGCGTCTACTCTGCTAGATCCCAACGCGACACATCTGCTATGGTTTCTGCTCTCTCTCAAGTTATTGGGAACTCAGGCAAGGATCCAGAAGTTCCTACAGTACATGGAAATCTTCCATTACCGCTGCCTGAATATTCAAGTGGACAAGAGCAAGCCGAACCTCAACCAGCAGTTCAACAAGAAGGTATGAGAACATATTTTTTTTGTTTCTGTTTGGATGGCGAGAAGTCAAATCATATTCGTCACTAATATTTTGACTGGGAAGCGACCTAATATCTTACAATATATCTAGGACTTTTATGGGGATTTTTTTTGAGAGACAAACTGAGATGCTCAAGATTACAATCATAATCTTCTTCTACACATATATAGTGAAAACGTGCAACAGAGTGAACGTAGCTCTTTGAGAGCGAACCACTGTAAATCTGTGCGTTTGGTTCTAAGTTTTTATGATCTAGTTTTGCTTAATATTGCTCTCTTAATTAAGATTAGGACTTAATCCCTTACATTTTATGTCATTTCGTTCATGCATCCCTATGACACTTTCTAGTTCTATATGTGTGTGAGTGTTTTTATACTGTTATTGGAACAGTATACGGGCATATGGATATAGAGTTTTTCTAGGATTATTATCTAGCTCCTTACACGGGAGCTTTCCTAAAAATGATTTTCTTGACTTGATTTTATTCCTTATCACATATGATGTGCATAAATATACATAAAGGGAGTCCAGACCTGCAAAGGAGAAGACACTATAGAGGCGTCCGGCAGCGGCCTTGGGGTAAGTGGGCTGCCGAAATCCGGGATCCAAATAAGGCTGCAAGAGTCTGGCTTGGAACCTTTGACACTGCAGAGGCTGCTGCTCATGCTTATGATGAAGCAGCGCTAAGATTTAAAGGTAACAAAGCTAAGCTCAATTTTCCTGAAAGAGTGCAAGGAAAAAACGCGTCTGGTTACTTAACAACACGTCAAGATTTGCCAGTAGTTTCTGAGTCGGCTACTCAAACGTATCGGCCTCTTTCTCAAGAAAACCGCTTCAATGTCCAGAACTATGCAGAATTTCTCCGTAGAGGAGATAACAGTAATTTGAACTATGGTGTCTCAGGGTTTTATTATCATGGTTACGGTGGAAATTTTGTTTCTCAATCTTCATCAAATACAACAAGGACACCTTCTGTACTGCCAACTCAACAACATCACCACCAGCAACAAGAGCAAGAAGTTTTGAGATTTCAATCACAATTTGAAACTTCTAGCACCGGTTCTATGAAAAATGGGGAAGAATTTGACAGCACAGGTCATTCAAAAAGGTAATTTTTACATGTTCCAATAAGAGGGATAAGATGAAGATTCATGATTAGATGAAAAAATTATAGTTTGTTGTAAGTTTTTTTCTAAAGTTCGACGTTTAAGCCAGCACTTTTTCTCTCGTCTAATTTAAAAGTTTTCAAGAACTCAATGTATTGAAAGAACGGGACATTTTTCATCATCTAAGTTTGTTTGTGCATCCTCTCATCAGACTGTGTAGCTCCTCTTGGAGATGGAGCTCTAAATCTATTCTTGAATTTGAGCAGTGGTCCATCTTTAGAAGTTCTCTAAATTCTTAGATTGAAAGCAATTGAAAATGAACTTGCACAGCCATCATTAGAACTTCAAAATTTGCTAGGAGAGGAGTTATGAGAAGCTTTTTAGTCAAATATACTTCATTTCAGATTTCGGTAAAATGATGAGTATAAGATTAGAATTTATACTGTATGCTTCCTACCTACAACATGGGCTTCTTTATGAGGTTCATACTGCTGAAAGTAGCCAATTCTTGGTTAAATGTAAAGCCAAACATGCATATACATACATACATACATACATACATACATACACACACACGTATATACATCGAGACTGGGCATCAATTCCATGCAAGGAGCAGAAGTCGCGTACTGATGCCTCGCCTGTTGTATCACTAAGCAGGTTATATTGACAATATGAACTTAATCGCCAGATGCTGAGAATTCAACTTATTGATCTTTCCTTAGATATAACAATTAATTGAACGCGATTAGTTTATTGTGGACCTATAATTGTTGACAATCATTTTGTTGTCGATGTTGTAAAGTTAATAATTCAACTTAAGTAGATATAGTTGAAAGATGTAAAGAATTTCATTGTTTATCAGTATATTTTTCGTACAATTAAGAGGGTGTTTGAGAGACATTTTTATGTAAAAATACATTTTTGAATAGTAAATTGACAGGAAATGTGTGGTTGAAAAATAGAGAAAAGTTTTTGATTTACGTGTAATATTATTTTAATAAAGAATGTGTGATTGAAAAGAAGAAAGAAAAATGTATTTTGAAAAAAATGGGAACCTAAAATTAGTATTTCATTCTGATAGAGAATAAAAATTTACGCTCATTTCTCCCTGACTCAAAATCTTTAATCAAGAGAGGAGAGTCCTAGGAATTTTACCATTATTGAACAGTTTTAACAACTTATATATTATGAACACTTTTGGATAGAATAGATGTTAAAATCTATATTTGAAAGAGAATCAATAAAAAAATCAAAGTTCAATAACGAGATAACCATTGACAATATAGTATAGGTCCATTTGGCAAAGCTTTTGAAAAGTTAAAATTTTTTTCTTGGGCTAAGAAATTGCTATTGAACAAAGACTTGGGAGTCTGTTTGAGGAGTGATTTTGAGAATTGATTTTTTGACCGTTAGGAGAAAAGTAGGGTCCACTTGTGAGAGAAGAAGTCAAATATAACGACTGAAATAGTGAAATAACGGTTAAAAAATCAATTTTTTGGGTGAAAAAATTGGGCTCAAACAGGCTCTTGATTTAGCTAAAAGAGATTTTTAAAGAAAGTTAACTTACTTCCTCAAGAAGCTTTTCTATTATAAGTAAAGCAAAAATAGAAACTTGTCAAGCGGCCCTCGAAAAGTCTCGAGGGTGAAGCAAATTGTCATATATATATATTAGCTTAGAAATCAGAAAGATAAAGAACGAAATACCGAAGTTAAGAAAGATGGAAACTCACATACTTCCCTCGAAAGCTATTTCAGATGCCTTCTTGGCCTTTCCCATGTTTGACAAAACTCACTTAAAAGTATCGATCAAAGTATATATTAATCTGTCACTATTATATGCATGGCACTACCTCTCTCTCTCTCTGTGTATCTCTATCTCTATCTATATATAGATATACACAAATGTGAAAGTAGCCATAAAACGTAAGAAAATAGCCATGGTCATCGAATTCGGCTTCAGATAAACTGAGCGTCAAATCAAAAACATATGCTTGCTTGTCAGCTAGCTAGCTTCTTTAAGATTTTTTTTTTTTGTTTTTTGTTTTTTCTTTTTTTTGTGTGCATTATTCAGGGTTTGACTTGACTAAGTAAACCATACGGTCATTCATACGAAATCAAATTCTTCTTCTTCTTCTCCTGTCTATCAATTTTCGATTTCATTGTTCAAGTAACTTCCATTTGGAGCATATTCTTTCACTGTTTAAAAGGTTGCTTTATTTGACATCTTTACACTAAATTTAGAGGGTGTTTGGTGGGAATTAAAATTAAAATTTTTAGTAGATTGTGATAGAAGTTTTCGACACGTGGTTGAAAAATTATGAGATCCATGAAAGATGTGGTTAATATTGATTGTTTAATTTTGATTTAAATTAAAATCAGATTTTAATTCGTACTGAATGGGTAATTTTGATTTTAAGCAGGGCTATATACCTGAATTATTATATCAGGTTGAGCAGAAGGGGAAAAGGAAAAACAGTTAAAAAAAAAAAAAAGAAAAAAAAAAGTTACTTTAAGCCTGGTTGAGAATAAGCCAAGAAGAAAAGGAAAGTAAGAAGCTAGAAAGGTGAACATTAAGGGCTCGTTTGGTAGGAATTTTGAGAATTGATTTTTTGACCGTTAGAAGAAAAGTGGGGTCCACATGTGAGAGAAGAAGTCAAAAATTACGGCTTGAATAGTAAGATAACGATCAAAAAATCAATTTTTTGGGGCAAAAAATCCCTACCTAACGGGCCCTAATATACAAGTGGTTGCTTTTGTTATTTTCTTGAAAGTCTAACTTACACAAACAGGTTAATTTAAACTTTGATCAATCTATTTTATGATAATTGGTCAAGATCGCCGCTCAAGTAACTATTTATAGATAGGGAATAATTATAAAAAGGGTGTTTGGTAGGAATTTTTATGTGAAAATGAATTTTTGAATAGTAAATTGATGGGAAATGTGTGGTTGAAAAATAAGAAAAAGTTTTTGATTTACGTGTAATATTATTTTAATAAAGAATGTGTGGTTGAAAAGAAGAGAGAGAAAAATACATTTTGGTAAAAATGGGTGCCAAACAGGGCCTAAATATATTTTGACATGTAAGAATGATCATTTATTTTCAGTCCACAATTTTGTATACAAGAGTTGAATCTAGGGATAATGATGAATTATCATATAAGTTAGACTAGAGAATAAAGAGTACAAAACAAGATATCTAGAATAGCACTTATTGAATTTTCCTTGCAAACAAAATAGATAGGGACATTGATGAAGTGATGCTAATTAACATTTTAATGTCTAAAGTGAGTTGGCATCAATGGCCATTAGTTGTTGTTTGGGATTGAAATGTGGATGTATTTATTATTATTATTATTATTATTATTATTATTATTATTTTCAGCCGAATGTCTAAGAGTGTTTGATTGGATTTATTTTTTTATTTTTTTGGTCACGTGACCATATTTGTCTCATAAACAAAAATAATATTTTCTTTAGAGAGGGGTGGTTATTATTTTTCAAGTAATTAACTCTCTTTCTCACTCTCTTCTATTCACCAATAAAAAATAGACAAGTATAATATTTTTTAAGTTAAAAACTAAATCAATCAAACATATTTAATTAATAATTTTCATATAAATAATTTCTAAGTAATTGAATTGCCTATAATTTATTTTCTTTCCATATAAATTTCAAGTTCGCAATCAAAGTGAAGGATAAAAACTGGCCGAAGGTGGCTATAGTGATGGCATGGAAAGTGGAGGGGGTGCCACTGTTTTTTATTTTTAACTTTTCTTCCATTTTTTTTTCTATTTTTTTACTTATTTTTTGCCCTTTTTTTGTTTATTTAAATTTTAAGAGCAATATAGTCTTTTTCATGTCATTTGCAATGATAGATATGAAGGTTCAAATGTTCAAAATAAAATGATAGAGACGATGTGTACAAAAAGATAAATGATACGTACATTTTGTGTCAATTACCTTTATTAGTTGTAATCGTGTTCCTCGGATTAATAAAACGCCTATTTTTTTACTTTTTTTTTGCCCTTTTTTTGTTTATTTAAATTTTAAGAGCAATATAGTCTTTTTCATGTCATTTGCAATGATAGATATGAAGGTTCAAATGTTCAAAATAAAATGATAGAGACAACGTGTACAAAAAGATAAATGATACGTACATTTTGTGTCAATTACCTTTATTAGTTGTAATCGTGTTCCTCGGATTAATAAAACGCATTACAATTTTATCAAACAATATATTAAAAAATTCACTCTCACCCAAATTGTTTGACGAAACCTACGGCCCCATAAGCTGTTTTTAATTGAACTAACTTTAAATTTTAATAGGAGAAAAATTCAAATGGTGTGTGCGCGCGTGTGTCAAACGTGCAAATGCAAATGTCAAACATTGCGTGAATCCATCATTATAATTGACCCGTGTCGGCGCCTACAAGCAAACTTTTGATTTCAACGTTGTCGGCTTATAATTGACCCGAGTCGGCGCCTACAGGCCAACTTTTGATTTCAACGTTGTCGGCTTAGCTAATTAATATAGCACAAGACGAATATCAGTGGGAAAATGTGGGAACAAATAAACTAGTGCTTGCAGAGGTGTACATGATCTTTTACACCCCTTCACATGAAGGGAGCCACGCATAATAAATTATTCGTGGATTCCTCTCAATGCGTGAGGGGTGTCATCATACATGGACACGAAAAGTGTACACACAACATAATTTATTTTTAAAATGGACAAGACTATATGTACACTTTTCGATGTTCATAGTCTTATACCTCCCCCCCGCCCCATATGGAGGGGAGGCCCACATATAATAGTTATACCGGAAATGTACGCGTAATAGGGTTGTAAGCAAAAATCGAAAAATCAAACTGAAATCGCATTTTATAAACCGTCGGTTTGGTGCCACGTGGACCTGGTCAACGAAATGATTTTGACCCAAATCAAACCAGTCAAAATGGTTTGGTTTAGGTTTGAGAATTTTAATTACGGTTTAAAACCAAATCGAACCGGCGAAAAAATATATAAAAATAAAAAAATGAAATTGGTCAAAATGGTTTGGTTTAGGTTTGAGAATTTTAATTGCGGTTTAAAACCAAATCGGATTAGCGAAAAAATATATAAAAATAAAAAAAATGAAAAAATGAAATTTTTTGAAAATTCATCCAAATATGTAAAATTCAATAATTTTGTCATTTGTGAGTATTTTTGTCAATTTCTAATTTTCTAATACATATATATTATTATTACTTAATAATCCTAATTTATATCTAATAACCTCAAAACTAACATAATCTATCAAAAACCATTTTCCTCTTCAAAATTCATATAAACTCCAGTTGACACCCGACACAGTCTTGAGCCACCAGCACCACACACTCTTCTTCTTCAGATTTTTTACGCCTCTTCAAAGTTGAATTGAAGTCCATTATACCAAATCGGAGACAAAGAGATCCTAGACCTTTGGTGATAATATTTGCTACAAATAAAGTTTTAGATCAATAATTTTTTGGAGCAAACTAAGGTAAGAATCTGAAATTAAATGTGTTTCGTAACATCATACAAACGTAAACTTGTGTAATTGTTATGTTTAGATATTATAAACAATTGTTTTATTATTGTGGTTGGTTATTCTCTTTGTTTAATCATTATTCGTTTTTCAGATATGATGATCACGAACTCTTGTTGAACATCATTATATTTTTTGGACCTTATATCTAGTTTAGTAGACTTGTATTGAAACGTTATTGTATCGTCATTAGTTTAAAAAAGGTGAACAAAAATGAAAAAAATTATGTTTTAGTTTATTGTGATTTCACTTTGATTTAATTGATATTTAAATTTATAGTAGATATTTAGCCCTTATTTGAGCCATATTTTCCATATCATTATAATGAGAAAATTGACTATTGGAGAGGAGGTTGGGTCCCACACATGAAATAACAGGTCAACAAAGGCGGCTGGACTTGTAGAATAACAGTCTAAATTTTCTTTTTTTTTTTTTTTTTTCCAAAAATTTGGTTCAAACAGGGGCTTAGTTTGTTTTAAATTTATTACTAGTGAGATATAAATATATATTAAATTCAATGAATTAATGATATAAAAGTAGACGGGTAAAAAATATATGGTGAAATCGACGGTTTAAAACCGGACCAAATCGTTAGGTTTAGGTTTGAGTTTTTTTCAAACCGTTCAAAATAGTTTGGTTTAGGTTTGAGTTTTTCTCAAACCGTTTTAAACGATTTGGTTTGAAAATATGTCAAAAATCGGTCAAATCAAATCGCTTACACCCCTACTTCAAAGTTAAATTGAAGTCCATTATACCAAATAGGAGACAAAAAGATCCTAGACCTTCGATGATAATATTTGCTACAAATAAAGTTTCAGATCAATAATTTTTTGGAGCAAACTAA